TACGACGTAAGAATGAAAAGTTTCATTTTCTTACACAGTTTCTGTTACATCTTATATTACAATTCAAAAGAAATACAAAATTTGTAATATTTTAAGTATATACTGTTCCCAAAACATGCTAAAATAGACAATCTTATAAAAAAAACTATTTTCAGAATTAATTTTTAATTTATTCTCAAAAAAAAATGGTTTATTTAAACTGTACTACTTATACATCATACATACCACGTGAACGAAAATTATGGAATCAAGAGGTTTTTTAAATCATTTGCTTCCAAAAATAATAATTAATAAATTTAGAGTGCATAAAAAATGTGATCGTGTTTATAAATAAATTTTGTTTTATATGAATTTTTTTTCGATAAAAAATGAATAAAATGTAAGTAGTTGTAATTCTTAGATCATATCGTTCTTGATGGTATTAATGATTTTTTTCTAAAGTAATTTGTTTATGCGAAAAACGTTTGTTTGTTTACCAAGTACGAAAATAAATTAATAAAAAATGTTTAAACTGTCAATAGTTTTGGGCCACTCTAGTAGAAATTTTTAAAATATGAATTGAAGACCACAAAAGAATAAAATATTTAAATAATAAAAATGAAATATTTAGAAATTTATTTTTGCATATTTTTCTGTAGGACAAATGAGATATAATTTCTAATACTGTCAATAATTAAATTGATTCGGAAATCGGATGTTTAGCAATTTAACATACGGTGTGAGTATATTTACACATACCTACCTTTTTAAAATCGTTTACCGATCAGATCTGCTATTTTAAATATCTTAAACTCGTTGAATTTAATGCTGATTAAAATAGAATAAATTTCCTATTTCCTGCGGAAGATATTTATTTGCGGAAAAGCGTGGTTCATTATTGTAAACACATACCAAATCTAAAATTAAAGGTAATTTTATATGCCCTGATGGTGTGACTTTAGTTGTCGACATTCCTAACAGTGGCTTTAGAAACAAACCACTTATTTAAGGTGCATAATAAACAAGGAAGCGCTTAATACTCTAAACTTATTTATATAAGTATCCATTGTTAAATTCATTTGCAACTAATAACAATATTCTTTAGAAAATGCTTTTTATTTAAAAATAAATACAACACACAGCAAAGAACGAACTTCTTTCATCACAAGAARCAGAGTAGTGGTCAAGACTTATTACTTTCCAAACAATATTTAGCTGTAGGCAAAAAAGTGAATGTACTATCACAAAAGAGTTTGACTTAAATTTCAAGTATTCAAATTAGAAAAATAACAGGAAAATTTAAAATTTTTAGATAAAAAACTAAAAAAAGTAATTATGATTTTTGATAAAGTTGACTTGAGTCAATTTAAATAATAAAAAATTATGATAAATAAATTAGTGGTGACAACTATAACTGACCCAAGCCATTTAACCAACATTCTGTAAAAAATTGGGAACTTAACCAATAATTTGAAAAAAAAAACAAAAACTTGGGTATTGATTGTCAAGAAWAATAACATTTTGTGGTTAATAGATTTATTTTTTCTTAACTACTAATAAAAATAATATGAAGTAAGTCAAAACATGTGAGAAACTCAGTCAGAGTATGCGCAAACACAAGCAGTTGGTATTTGAAATTTCCGATATTCCAAGACATTTCTTTCAGTGTTGATGGTCACAAGTTTAATAGTGTTGAATTTCTGAATACATTTTGTTTCACGTTTCAACAAACTTCCACCGTAGCATTTTCCACCATTACTAAAACTGATGTCACAAGTAAAACGAAATGATTCTAATAAAAAGAATAAAGTAGTACCTGCAAGTTTGAAATTTTACAACTTGGCTGTAACCCTCAACATTCACAATAACTCTCTCAATATTATCAACATCTTTCATGATTCTGGGTATTTTCGTAACGTCTGTAGTTTTGCAAAAAGGTTCGTAACTCAACACACCACTTCTATCAGAAAGTGTGACATCTTTCGCTGGCCCTACGACGTCTCCAAAGTAAGAATGAAAWGCTACATTTTCCTTCACGGTTTCTTTTATGACATCTTCTGGATAGTTAGGAATGTGTTCGCAGATGTTRTAAGCGCAGTTTCTTCCAGGCGAAGAGTTCGGGTTAGTAAAATCACGATTTCTATATCTCGTGAACGATTGGGATTTCTACAAGCAAAATAAAACCATACAGTTTGTAAAGTTACAATACTTACCACAAAACAAGTTAAAATAAAAACACAGTTCAATAGAAACATTAGTTTCAAATGCATTGTGTTGATATTGTTGTAGAAACAAGTTTAGGCAGAATAATAAAACTAGTTGTCTTTTATACATTTTTAGTGACTGCGGTTTCTTGATTAGCAAACTTCCTTAGAAAATAAATGATTAACAGATAAATGCATTGAGCAAAATTACTAGAACTGCATATTATTAATTAATTAAGGACAAATATTTATTAATAGTGTCAATTCTATATAATGGGTAAAGTTGCCCTCAAAATTCGTTAACAGAAAAAAATACAAAAAGAAAAATTAGTCTATATTATTTGACACCAGTTTTCCAAAATACCTTAAAATAATAGTAAAATTGACGTAATTTTTAAAAAATAATTTGTTTTGTTCGAAAGATGAACAAATGTAGATTTTTTTAAATAATAAATTGTTCTGATATTTATTATACGGTGTCCATAAATGTATACAAATCTTTTTAAAACATTTTTTTTTATAATCTATTAAAAATTTGTTGGAGTAATTGAAGTTGTTATGATTCGAGTAGACTAAATTTTCTGTGGAAWATAGAGATTCACAGAAACCGGTCCATTTTAAATCTAAATTACAAACATTTTGTCTAAATAATAAATAAAGTGCAAAAAATCATTATAATGAGTCGTCACAAAATTACAAAATAAAATAAAAAAAAACAGTAGGAAGCTAATTTTTTTCAGAAGTAACAACAGTGGTCAGAGTTTATTACTTTCGAACACAATATTTAGCTRTCGGTATAAAAGTGAAAGTACTCTCACAAACAGATGGAATTTTTAAAGTTTAATTACTTATTTGAATTAGAAAAATAACACGAAAACTTCACCAAATATCGAACTGTTAAGCAATTATTAACCCCTGATGTTAATAGTATCAAAATTTTAAATATTGTAACAGTGTAGTAGATTTTATATTTATTATAATTTTATTCTCATTACTTTTCATGTGCTTAATTAGGTTTTTGAAAAAATTGCTAATTACGAAATGTTTTAAAAAATATTATTTCAAAAATCAGAGAGTTTGGGTAAAACACTGCAAATATTTTTGATTTTTTTATTAATTAAATAGTAGATCATATACTGWGGTGGGAAGGGGGAGGTAAAGCAACAACCACTAAGATTTGTATACTATATTATTTACAATCATCCTCCTTAAAGAACTGCAAGACAATAAAGAATTTATTTAACCAATATTTTTGATTTATTAATTATTAGTTTGAGTAAAACAACACATTTGATAAGATGTTTATTATAATCGTAAAATTCGTGTATYACAAAACTACATAATTGTGAAAAAATTATTCTTCTCTGGTGTATGTACACACACAAGTGCTTGGTATTTCAAACTTTCGATACTCTAGGGAATTAGTTTCCAAATTTGCTGTCATCAGCTTAATGACATTATATTTTTGCACACATCTAGTCTTTAAATTGAGTATAGACCCCGGAAAACAGCCTTCGTTCTCTTCAAAGCTAGAAAATTAAATTGTCAAAAGTAAAAAAGTATAAAAAATAAAAAACTTACTCGCAGATTTGATATTTTATAACTTGTTTGTACTTATCGGTGTTAGCAATCGATCTTTCAACATGATCAACATCCATCATTAATCGCGGAAGAGATGATACATCCCTAGTTCTACAAAAGGGTTCCATTACCTCATTATTCCTTGATACAATCGAAATGCCTGAGTCTAAGCTTGATGGTTCTATAACACTGTCCCCAAAGTAGGAATGTAGAGCTTTATTTTCTTCAATCATTGCTCGTATTTTATTTTCAGGGTATGAAGGCACATTTTCACAAATTTTAAATAAACATTGACTTGTTTTAACCTGCATTTGAGTTCTTTTATGTCGGTAAATTGTATCAGGCCTTCTTAAAACCCGGTTATCGTATCGGTCGAAAGACCACCCATTCTACGAAAAATAAATAAAAATAAAGAAAACAAAATTGACTGGTACTTACTACTGAGAGAAGAAGTTGGAGCACAATCAAACCCACTTGGTAATGCATGATGGATCAAATGACGTAAAATTACTAAACTGCATGGGAAAACTCGTCATTTATATGGTTCTTATGGATTGCGGTTTTGATAGGTACTTACCCAACTTCCTTGACGTGAGATTGTGAGTCTACGAGAACTAATCTGATCACACTGTTTAGCTTGGCTTTTATATAAAAATTTGTAACGCTAAACTATCGATAAGATTACTATTATACGTACAATTTGTTTTGTTGCCTGAATTTGTTTTGTGATTTTTTTCATTYATCATGAACCAAAATGAAGAAAAACCTTCGTTAGTCCACAAATTAAAGAAAATGACAATAAAAAAATTCAAAATTTCTTACTAATGAACAAAAAAAATCGAAGTCTTTAGTTAGGGGAACAATAAAGTCTAAAATTACCAAAAACTAGTTGAATATATGGTAAAGGCTTAAGAATTAAGGCCATGAGGTTGAAGAAACCTATAAAAATGTGCCCAAAATTTATATTGACTTGTTTATAGTATCGTCATTTCTGYATTACCATGTTCACCAACTATTACCGTGTTTCCATTGTTTACGTATTAATAAAAAAATATCATGAACACATTGTTGTACCCATTCATATTATTTTACTTATTACTAATCTCCTAAAGAAATTGGTATGTATATTTACTTTGAAAAACTTTTTAACGTAATATTTATGTATAATTATAATTTTCAACAACTGTCTTGAGTTCCTCACCTCAATATTTTCACCTGTTCTTGAAATTTTAATGAAAATGTAATAAAAATCAAGAACTCAAATACTGGGTGATTTTAAAGTGATTTTAAAGTTTAAAGATTTGCTTATTTTTGCAAATATTTTAACAGGTGGTAGTAGGGCTCAAAAAAAGGCAAACTCAACTTGCTTTATCCGAATGTTTTGAGTTTTTGAGATACAGAGAGTTTTGTTCGTCGAATAATTTTATTTTTTTTTTCTTTAACTTCACCAACTCCAATTGTAAAGATACGTGAACTCTGAGGTGGTTAGCTCTTTAAAATCTATTACATTGTTTCAACAAAATCGAGTTAAAATTAGCAAAAACAGGCAAAGAAAAAAGTGTCTTCACAAACAAAATCATAAAAGGGTAAAAATTTTACAACCAATTTTTTTGTTGAAGATAGTACAGAATTCCATTACCTTCAAACTTCGTTAATATTGCATTTTTTGTCAATTAAACATTGGAATAAAGCAATTTTACTTCTTTTGAGCTTTTCTATGACCTGTGAAATGAAATTAATGTCATTAGTTAACTGTGCCATAAATCGTGGGTATCGCTCAACAAATTTATTATTTTCATTTTACAGATTAAATTTTCTGCCACAACTGAGAAAGATTTGGTAAACTTAGAATTTTCTTCCAACATAAATATTGCATTGTAAACTATTATTTTCTTGCAACATTCAATAAAAATTGCTTTTATCATATTGTTTATTTATATTTTCTTGGAAAAATAAATGATTTCATCTTTATCGCAAAAATTTGCGTCAACCTGTATTTGACTACCTAACAGGATGTAACTRTACATTATTCGATTTTCTACAAAATACCTTGCAAGTACTTCTCATTTTGAAAATAAAAAATAAAGTAATGAAAAACTGMTTGTTAATTCACATTTCGAAAAAATAAAAAACTTAGGAACCCGCATATCGAAAAACCTAAAAACTATCAGTAACTAAGTGAGACTTTAAATTAAAAAAAATATATATTAATTACTTCAGGGCCGTACCCAAGGGGGGTTCAACTAAACAAATGCCAAATAACAAAATTTTTAATCAGGGGCGTCCTAAACGGTAAAACAAATATATTTTTTTATTTTTATTCTGTTTATGGTCTGTAACATAAATTTTTAAACGGATTTTTACTAAAAATCCATAAATTCTATCGGAAAAACACAGAAGACCTTTTTTTATGAAAAACTATGAAATTTTGTTGCTGAAAGTGGCAAGAAACTTTTTACCCTAAACCCATCCAGTTTAGGAAGCCCCTAATTAAAAATTTCAACATTTTATCTTTGTACTTGTTTAGGTCTATAAAAGTTATCATCTGTATCAAATTTTGAAATTTTTTTCTAAAATGTTTTCGGAAATATTGGAAAAACCAATTAAAAGACCACTTGCGTAGCATTTTTCGATATACGGATATGTTCATAAAAATTTTTGTTTTAAAAATGAATATTCTATCTCTTGTTTAAATTTGTAACAATAAAAACGAAACATCCTGTCTAGTTTTATATGTACATATTAAAAATTTATTTTATTTTTTATTACTTTGTGAGTTAGTTTGTATTTTTTATGTTTAATTAGGATCTCTTATTTCAATTTAAAATAAAAATGTGTACTTAGAATGAGCTTACTTTTCACTCCGCCTTCTTTCGTTTCATTTTCATGGACCAACAAGAAACCCCCTCCGAAATAAAATCCTGGTTACGACCCTGAATTACTTAACTAATTAATTAAGATTGGCATTTAAACAAACCCTGAGATCATCATCTTTTGTATTACACGTAAGTAAGCAAGCCAATTCCAATTGTGTAAATAAAAAAATAGTTAATTATTTAATTACATAATTAGTTCGAAACCACGTGAAATAATGCTGCAAAATAAGTCTAAAACATGRAAGATAGTAAAGCTGCTATTATCGGTAAATTTATTCGAAAAAGCTTGAACATCAAAGCATTAAAGTAGTAAGTGTATAAAAATTAAATAATTTCTTTATCTGCATTTATCATAAGTTRTCAATATGTTAATCAGGCCTTATTTGGACTGCAAAAAGTGTACTTGGTTGTCAAAGCATTTTGTAACATATACGACTCCTCTTGATTTAAAATAATCTTTTATTAGCCGATAATCAAGACGTAAACAAATTTTAGCAGGGAATTCCTCACTCCTGTAAATCTCAAGATTTACGYAAAGTGATTAGTAATTAAGTAAACAATCTTAGGAGGAAGTGTGGTTAAAATAAGTATATAAAACACTCCACGAATCTTTTTTGAAGTTAAATGTGATTCCGCGCGCTTTGAATTGACTGAATCTTGTTAGAGACTGATTTGCATCATGCAGTTTTCATCCCTCATTACCATATTTATATTTTTCGTGATCTCTGTAAGTAACAATTAACTTATTACCAGTTCTTTAATTTAAATTCTCCCGAAGGAAGTTAGTTGTAAAGGTCGGTGCTACCAAGGTTTGTGTGCAAAAGGTAAACCTTATTCGAAAGAAAACGACAGATTAGTAAAGAGATTAGTAAATAAGCACATTTCCAACATCAAGTTCAACGTATCAGTTCTTGTCGAACCTGAYAACAGTGATAACAGTGAAGTGCTTACTAAATCACCACTTTATAATAAATACGAAAATTTGTGTGATACACGAAAGATAACTCATATACCAGAATATTACAAAAACGATACAAGCATCAAAATAGTACAAGTTCCAAAATACCGCCAAAAGTTTACTTTTGAAGTTTGTGCGTAAGTTTTAATACAAAATAAATAATAATAATCCATTAACAAGTTCATTTTTCAGAAAAAATTCTGGCCCGTGTCACCACAAGGAAAGCTTTGATACAGAAACATCTTGTAGACAATTATACCAAAAAGTCAGACTTTTGATCGTTAAGAATAATACCACACTCGAATTTAAAATGTTTARAATGCCCAGCACGTGTGTCTGTACTATGCGTAAAACCTACCTTTATGGTGGTAAAAATTATGTGTAGTTTTAAAAATCATTCATTACATCACTGTATAGAGTTTATTGTTAAAATAAAAGTGTTTTCACAATTTTCTTGTTTTTTCTTAACAGTATTAACACACATCGTTTGTTTGAAAGGGATGCGGAAGTCTTTGTTTCACTTATCATTGCATAAGTGCTTTCATTCCATTTGTAAGGTAGATTAAAACTAAAAAGTTGACTTTTTAGATTGATACACTAAGAAAGTGAGTTTATTTAAGTGCATTTTATTTAATCTACCCAAATATTATGCAACAAAAAATAAGTAGTAGATTCAATTTTCAGTACTTCATCAATAGTGAATAATAATCTAGTCATAACTGTGCGAATAATGTAAATGAAAGTACGACAGTGACCGTTTAATGTTTATGTAATAGATGTCAAGTTCAGATGCCTAGTTTTTATTTTTTTGCTCCAGTAATTGCAAATTTTCTCTTCATTATCAATGAACCTAGAAATTTAATTAAACATATCGGCTACTCATAGCTTGCGTTAAATACTATAGACAAACATGTGCATTGTTTTCGGCTTCAACATATTTTTTTTTGTAAATTTTGTGAGCGAATTACATATAAACTTTTTTTAAATAAAGTACCTAACTAACTTTCATCTGTTTTGGTTTTTCTTAACTCACTTTTTTTAAAACGAGTCCCTCTAGACATTTTAGAAAATAAACAAAAATTAGAAAATCTCGGCATCTAAAGGGGACACCTTTTAGTGTACTGTTGAAAGTTGTAGCATCAACCCCCTTTGTAATACAAACACCCTTCCTATAATTTTTTTTAAACAGACTGGAAAACAGAAAATGTCAGACTTTTTTGAGTCAGCCGAATTCTTGGTCAAAACASCTTTCATTTTCACAAAGGTACTATTTAAAATTTTGAAAGAATTGTCTGTATTTCCAAAGGGGTAGGTACTACAAATTTCAAATGTATACTAAAAGGTAACTGAGTTTCCTTTATAAAAACCTTTCAAAATAAATTAAAATTTATTACAAAATTACTCAAAAAAAATTGAATTTTTAAGAAAAACAGTAAACAAATTAGTTTTTTTACAATTGGATGTTGTTCTTAAATTAAATCAGTCACACACAGTAACACAGAGTTTTTATCTCATTTTGAGTGTTTGTAACAAACTGCAAAATTCAATAGTTTTTTTTTATAAAAAAAACGTATAAATCAAATTACATAAAAAAAATACAGTAACATAAGTGGGTAAGCTACAATTCGCCAAAAGTAAATCAAAAATTCTTCTGTACCTACAGTTTTTTTTATAAAAAAATAAAATGGCCAAAAATAGAGGTTTTTTTAACGCATTTTTAGACGACACAGACAAGAATCTTAAATTAATATACATATGTATATTGCTGCTAAGGCCATCAAAAGTTGATATTTTTTTTAGAATTTTTGATCTACGATTTTTTTTATTCATTATAGTTCAACCTTAATTAAAACTATTGCTAAAAAATATCATTGCACTTTTCGCAATTTTTTAAAAAAAGTTTGTATGTTAGATGCTAAAGATCTTGATATAAAAATACTTCTTTGCATTTTATTGACAATAAAATCAACAAGAAATTGCAAACTATTTGCAACTCATTAATTGTTATTTTAAGACGCAACAATTAAACGAAATTATTTATTTAATGTAAGAAAGTCGTTTAGTTTTATYATCTCTTTGGAAATTATTCCATTATCATTTTAAACAAAATGTAAATTAATTGGTAAAGTCCTGAAGTTTTTACTCCAATTTACGAATGTACTCTCCGTTTTCTCCAAATTATTCGATAATTCGGAAATACCGCTCCATTAGATAATACTTTGTTACCCCACATACGGAAACTGCATGCAAGACAGACTATTGAAATTATTATATTATGTATCCTCTCAAATAATTAGAAGTTTGCTTCAAAAATATGCAAATAACAATAGGTATGCGTCACAGAAAATAACAGCTTACGCATCCGCACTTTTTACCAGTTTTTACACTTTCTACAAGATCTCTATTAGGTACAAATTTTGAAAATCTGCCATAAGATCAAATTAAAAGAACATTAAATTTAGACGAACATGTAGTCATCCAATCTCCTTTCCTTTAGAGAGACGTAATTGCATGTAATTTCTTTTCCTTCCACCGGAAGACATCCTCATCGTCTGGAACACCACGAGTCTCAAAGGATCAAAGAAAATGTTAAAAATACCCGACAAAAGTTCTAAATTCATTGCAAATCGAATAAGTTTTAAGTTTAGGGGTGCTGTTTGCTAAGTGGGGACCTTATAATATCTATAAAAGAAGTGGGTCATCAACAGTGCAATTGCTTGAAGTGAGAGTGAAGAGTTTACAGTGAACGGCTTACGGTGTCTTCGACTACCACGAGTGTATATGTGAGTGTGACCTGGACCTAGACTTTGCCATTATGAAGGTAAGTGTTAGGACGCTAGTTTCGGCACTTGAAGCGTTTACCGAAATGAAATATAAGAAAATTGCAAAACTCCGGAACAATGTGCTTGAGGAAAATGTCAACAAACCGGCTTTGTGGAGAAATTGAAGACACTTAAGTAGGCACTAGCTTTATGGCAGTTAGAAACTTACCTAGTTTGATAAAAACCACATTTTTAAAGTAATACTCGTACATTTTTTAATTAGAAATAATGTTTAGATTGTAAAAAAGAAAGACAGTATTTTAAAACGCGAGTAAAAGTCGATTGATGTTATCATTAATGCTAGACTAATTTAATAAAAATTCCACTGTGTTTTTAGCATTCACCGGATGCTTTAAAATTTCGTTTAATTAAATTGTTATTTTACGTCTGTCGGTTTCATGAAATCTAGTTTTCATAATTTAAGATTTTTATTAACTTTTTTTATTATTTGAGAAAAGAAGGAAACTGTCTCACAGTCAAATTAGTAAGGTGAGAAGAAGAGGTGTAGAACTATATTCTATTTTGTTAAACAAATAAAAAAAACACGTTGTATGTGGTAAAACATTTTCACTCGAAAGGTGCTAAAAGTAAATTGAAAAATAATTGCATCTAATGCCTCTTGCAAAAAAAAATTATTTAATGTTTATTCAAATTTCCACAACATTGCTGTTTTGTTTTAATTTTCGTCTCGATTATCATAACTAGTAATAACAAAATTTTATTATATTACTTACTCGTAAACAAATATTCATARTTTGTAATAAATTAATTAAATAAATATCCCTTTTATGTGATTTCAGTTATTATCGGTAATTCAGTTTTGCCGTAAACTCTGGAATTAGTTGTACATACATTTTTGGAATTTAAACGAAATTACTTAGAATTGTTTTGAAGTATTTGGAATTATTAAAATTATCTTTGSATTGTTCTGACTTACTAGAATTATTTGTGAATCACTGGAATTCTATTGGGTTATCAGAGATAATATCTTTTTTCTCTCAGAATTAATTTGTAATTACAGGAATTATTTTGGAATTACAAAAAATAAATTGAAATCATAAGAATTAATCTAAAAACAATGTAATGGATTATTATTGGGTTTACTGAAATTTCGGTAATTTTTTTTTTGGAATAACTGGAATTATTTGTGAATTACTGAAATTATGGAATATTTATGAAATTATTGAAATTCATTTTAAGTCAAAATTACGTTGAATTTCGGAATTAAATTTATTTGATTAAATTATTTAAAAAAAACAGTAGGTTGGAATTACATGAATTAATTTGAAACTATAGGAATTAATCTGAAAACAACAGCAGCAAGATGGATTATTGAATTACCAGAGTTTCGATAGATTTTTTTTGGAATTTTTTTTAGGATTAAAATTAGTTGTGCACATTTTTTTCATGTTAATGTCCCCTTGAAAAATACAAACTTAAATCTCAAATCTCAATGCAGTATTTGTAGTGATTTTCGTAGCAATTTCTATAACAGCTCTAAATTTAAAAGATTTGGATGAATCAGAGCAAAATAAGTGGTTCCTGTTTACTTACTCTGTAAAACAGACATTCTTAAATTTTYAATATTGTCGTATATTCTGTATGTTAGGATCTTATTTTCAAAATTTAAATACATAATTAACATAATTGTTCAATTTGTTGCATATAATCTACATTCTCTATCAATAATAGTAAGTAGATAACGAGATCACAGTGTCAGTTAATTAATCTCACGATAGTGTTGATACATTTATAATTCAWTAATACCAAAATTTTCTATATATTACAATTAAGTAGTAAATTATTCTTAATTACCCWCCGTGCTTCAGAACTAACCCATTCCCATGCATTTTTAAAAGGAAGGGTCAAAGTAGATGTGGGATCGTTAAATTGAGTGTCCTACCCTATTCATCTTTAAATAGTGTGATTCCTGGAAATATATTCCATCCAGGATTTTAGCATTAAAAGGAATATCAAATAATCCCTTTAAAAATGTACTTCTACCTTTTGGTAGAAAGTAAAAGGGCACATGTTAACACTGACATTATATGCAAATACTGAATCGCTCTAAAAAGGTTCATGGTCAATGCTCCTTCTTCCGTGTGGTGAAAGTTTTACGCATAAAAAACAAAACTTGACATGACACATAAACCTGAAAAGTGTCTCTTCTATATCAATTTTATGGTGGATGGTTTTTCACGAAAATGCTACTCTTTTACCTTTTTTTAAGCTACATTAACAAACACGTAATCATCTAAGTGGTGAAACCACTAATCAGTAATTGCTTTTCCACAAATGATATTAACCATGTAAAAATGTTATTACATCAACCGAAAGTTTAACACTCCTTATTTGAATAAGACAATATTAAGTACACCACAAAGCATGTTCGAAATTAATTTTAATGTATAGTTTATTCAACCACATATTTCGTTTTTGACTTTTAACAATGACTTATACATATTTCATATTTTGAAACGATTTTTGTTCATACTTTCAGATAGCGTTTCTACTGGCCTATGCAATACTAACTACAAAGAAGGTCAGGAGTGCCGCAATTCAAGCCCCCGAAGACTTAATCCCCTTAGAAGATATCACAGACGGGGACCGAAAAACTTTAGAATTTTTAAACCATTATTTTCCTCCAAGACCTAAGAGGTCAGGTGAAGACGCCTTGAACCATTTGAAAGCTTCCCTAAGTCAGGGCATTAAATCGAAATTGGGACTAATAGCCAAGAGTTCAGCTTCAGCAAGCGCTCATTTTAGTCGAAGTAGCAGCAGCGGYCATGCACAYCACCATCATCATTATCACCACGATGAACACCCGGAAGTGAGTAAAAATTAGAAAAATAATATTTTAATGTAGGTATACTAAAATAAGAAGTGTTGGTATAAATGTTTGTTTTTGTCATATTTCTCTCTCCCTTGTCAAACATATTACAAAAATCATTCTTTTATTCCTTGTTGACGCTTTTTACTCTTTCCACCGAAGCTATCATRTATCGAGACAGCTGTCGGAAAAACAAAAAAGTCTGAAATTCATACTGAAATTAATTTCATTCCATTTCTCTGAAACAATGCAAATAACCCATATTCTGTAATTGACAGAATTTCAAACTTTAATTCATTCTTACATAACGTTTTAGCAAGGTTATACTTAAAATAAAGTAAAATAAGTAAACTGTTGCAGTTTATAAATAATTCAGACCAAACGGTGCAATAATAATAGTTTCAGTGACAGAAAACTAATTAACTTAACTAAATTAGTAATTACATGAAAGCACATGTTACAATTACAATTTACTTAAATTTKATAAAAATCTATTATATACATAATACAAGATGTTTAAAAAGTCGCACCAATGATACGTTGTTGAGAAACAGGCTTGAAGATTACACTCTTGAAAGTGTAAGAAGATTAACTCTTGAAAAAACTCTTTCAGAATATGAAGCTTCAAAGTTATTTTTTTAAGTTCTTCAATTCATATAATTTTCTTAAGTTTTCGTATTTTAGTTTAAGTAATCGTTTCGTATTTTTATCAATGATAACTGTTTTTCCATCTAATTCAGTAGCTAGTAGTATTTGATTATTTAAAAAGATATTTATTCAGCAAAAAATTTCTGTTTGAGATTCCGGTTAAGAAAAATTTACGATAATTTATTTAAAGCAAAAAATTTTGCTTGGAAAAAACTTTTCAATTTTTTCCTCTACAGGTTCAAATTTTTTCTTTATTTTATTTATTTTTTAATTT